TAGTAACCAAGTACTTGAGCCAAAATTATTGGCATTCAAACGAATTACGACAAACGTGCAAATCACTACAAGCAGCACTGCAGAGACATGCATGCGACAACATGTATGCATGCTCACAGAAGACGACCACCACTACTACGACGACGACGACGACGACCACCACTACTACTGCTGCTACTACTACTACTACTACTACTCCTGCTGCTGCTGCTACTACTACTACTACTACTACTACTAAAATAAGAATAGTAAGTGTAACCACGATATAGAATACTGAGAACCACAATATTGAACTTTATGACAGCCAACTTCCACCTTGCTGTTGCTTTGCGCTCTCACAACTCGGACAAGCCAGGGGAGGTCTCTCGGTTTGCAGTCGGACAACGAAGCTCAGCATCACCCTACGAAAGGTAATAAGGCATAGGTAACCCCAGGAAGTGTTTAAGGTTTAACGCGAAAGGCTTAAGGGTTGAGAGTCTTGATTTCAGGATTCGGGGTTTAAGGTTCAGTGTGATATTGTGCTGGCTCCGTGTGCGCTAGACATGTCCGGTACACATGCATGCCTATGTACATGTCTGCATCTGCCCATAAGCATCTGCACGAGTGCCTGTATGCGGGAGCTTCTACCTGGGCAAGGAATAATGATGAGGACATTTCTGTTGCTGACAATAATGCCTTCGGCCATTTCTGGTGAGGTTACCTCTCCTTTCTGCTCTTCTGTTTAGTCCATGGATCTCCACAACCAAAGTCTGCTTACGAAAGGCAAGGGAAGCAAAAGACTGCAGGCAGACGGGAAGCCAGCTGCTCCCCAGCCGTCACTCTCCAGCCGTTCCGTGGAAGAGGTGGGCAACGTGTCAAAGCTGTCTTGACCCCGCCTTGCAGAGGAGCCCGAGGCCGTGGAGGCCGTGGAAGCCGCCGAAAGCGCCGGTCGCGGCTTGGCCTTCGCTTTCCGCTTGGAGCGCGGGGCAAGGCGGACCTCGTGCCCCGAGTTGATGCTCATCGCGGCGCTGGTCACGGGCCGCCGCTGCCCGCGCGGCATCGGCGGCATCTGCGCCGGGCTCTGCTGCGGGAAGGAGACGTCGGAAACGTTGGCCTCGGCCTCGTCGCTGGAGACTTCCATGTGCAAGGTGCGGTCCGGCTCGGCGTCGTGGACTTCGTTCGTCACAATGTCCACATCCACGAACTCCTCCTCGACCACCAGCGCTCGGGACACGAGAGGTATCCTTGCCCGGCGCGCGTGCCGCGCCAGCCGCCTCCTTGCCCGGCCGCAGAAGTTCACATCGAGGACTTCGAGCTCTCCTCGAGAGCCACTTCGGACGTAGCTGCCGTCCTCGTCCTCAGCGTCCTCCTCGTCCTCTCGTAAGGACCCCCATGACTCCCATGCAGACTCCTCAGTAGCTGTAGCCGGAGGTGGAGCTCCCTCCTCTGCCGGAGGCATCGGCTCCGCCTCTTCCGGGCACTCCTCCGCCGGTGTGTGGGGATCCTCCGCGCAGGCGGCCGCTCTAACTCGCGGGGGCCGGAGCTGTCCGTGTTGAGTGCTTAGAAGCCATGTTCTACCACACCTGCGATAATTCTTGAATGGCTTTCTCTTCTCCCTTGGTGGCATTGCAAGTACGTAGGACTTCTGCTCCTTGATTCGGTTCTCTGTTCTCTCGCTGTTCTTCGGCTCTCTTCTGCTTTTTGCGGGGACTCTGGGGGGGTTTTTTGTTGGACTCCTCCTGAGTGGTGGCCGCCTCATCGTCACCCGCCCCAAGCTGGCTGCTCGGGTCGGAAGGCTCCGCCATGCCTGGGAAGGCGCTGGCAGGGTCGTAACTGGGGCACTTCGAGGCGACGTGGGAGGTCTCGGAATAGAAACCAAAAGGGCAGCAATCAGATGACAACAACACCGACGGTCCACAGATAACGGCAGCAACTATGCCCATCATCATTGCAACAGCTTAACAGGACCAGCCCTGAATCGGGATAGAAGGAATGGAACAACACAAAGGAGCAACACGATGCTTGCAAACTCCGGAACAATGATGGGGCGAGAATGCTTGTAGCATCACGCAGCCTCTAGCTCCATCATACAACACGACTGACCACGCCAACCCTCATGTTGCCGGCAAAACCTCATGGTAGCTGAAGGAAAGCACGGGCATGCCGATGATCATGCTACTGTACATTGTCAGATTGCCAATCACCCTGGAAGACCCTATCTTTGAGGGCAGTCGTAGTGCAGTGGTGGAAGTGCCGATGGCACTAGCAATGACAGTAATTTGCTGTCGTAGTTGTATGTGTCGTTGTCGTCGTTGTCGTCGAAGCAGTAGCAACAGCTACAAGAGTAGCACCAGCAGCACAAGCAGTACCAGTAGCAATACATTAGCAGTAGCAGCAGAACTAGCAGAAGCAGGAGGCAGCAGCAGCAGCAGCAGCAGCAGCAGCGGTGGCAGAGGTGTAGCAGCAGCAGGCGCAGCAGTAGCAGTAGCAGTCGCGGTGGCGGTGGCGGCGCCGGTGGTGGTGCTGTAGCAGTGGCAGTGGCGGCGGTAGTGGGAAAGGAGTAGATGCAGCGGGGCACCACAGCAGGAATATTCGTATTGCCACTGCTGCTACTATCGTGATGTTATCGTATGCTACGATTTTTGACACTTCTGATAAGTACGACGCTTCCGCCACTGCTGCAGTTCTTCTTCCGTTGTCTCTATAGTGCCGCTATTTTATGTACTTGTTGCTACCGTCACCGTTCCCGCCTCGCTGCAGGCACTACATGACTGATGCCGCCATGGCAAAGCTACTCACCGGATGGGACGGATTTTTCGGTCTGAGGGGTCTGCGGGCACGTGGAAATTGCAAGTGACCTAAGCATCTGCATGTGTCCAGGAATCCTTTTGTGCAACTCAGGGCCCTCCAGCAGAAGGGGGGAGCAGGAGAAACCATCGATTTAGGAACTCCAAGTCTGCTTCATGAGCTCCAGGGTTTTGGTCATATCACGTAGCCCTAATGCATGAAGGAACTCTGCATGTAGTACAACCATGGCTTCTTGTAACAGCAACGTACTCTAGAGCACCTAGAGCACTATGGTTTCGGCACTTTAGCTCTAAACGCAAGCTTAACACACCTCTGGCGCCCTTGGGCCAAAGAAAGTGAGCCAGACGGCGTCAAGGATGCGGTTTCACAGCTCAGGCTTTGGGATCTTTCTTTCGGATGGTGCTTTGGGTCGTACTTGGGGTTTGGGTTTAGGATCTGGGGCCTGGGGTCGCGGGCATCTCGATGCAGCACTTGCCGGACTGCCTGGAACTGGATCTGGGCCTGGATGTGGGCCTGACGCCGTCCGCTCGAGGAATTCGCAACAGCCGAATGCACGAGTCTGGTATTGAAAGGTCTGGGTTCTACATCCCCCAGACGTAGCCCTGATGAGAATCCAAGGTTGTTGACAGCATAAAACCATACCATGTGGGTACTTGGACCCGGACAACCCTAATCGCGTGACACGCCCCGCCAAGTCCTGCATGCTCATAGGCTGCACCGGAATTGCGGCAGGTGCCGTCGGCGCTGCGGTGGCATATCTGGGCAGCAGAAACCGTGTTGGCCAGGCTTTGGGGGGATCGGAGTTCCAGATATGGACGGAATTTCACGCTGTTGGACTTCCCCAGGTCATGAAAGGACTTCACCCGGCACCGAACTCGAACAGCCGCGGCTAGGAATGAAGACTGTAGGATTTCTGGCATCGGGCTCCAAAGCCAACAGTCCAAAGCTTCAGGGAGTCGAACGATCGATCCTAGGCACTGGTCAGGGTTTGGGCGCTCACCGTGTTCCGCGGTGCGCCTGGAGCTGCGCCCTTTTTCTTGCCAATTGCACAGCTCTCGCAGACAGTCTCCAAAGCAATGTCCAAGGACATGAACAGCACAGATTTAATCACACTGTGGTCCGGCTCGTCAGGTCTGTGTCCGAACTCTGATATCACAAGGGCCAATCTCTGGCCTATGTTTGTCGAAGGGCAGTACAGGGCTGCCGCCAAGGAGAGTGCCGCTGACTCCGCTGAAACGCTACATACAGTGACAACAATTCACGCAATGTGATACATGCGAGGAACGTGGAGCTTATGCACGGAATGGAGTACGCCAGCATAAACCCCAAATCAAATCTCTCAAACGAATGCGGCCCCCTGCAGTAGCTACCGGCCCTGCAAAAGCGCCGCCTCACTCCTTCCTTGGCTGCGCTTTGCTGTCACTTTTGTCGTGCTCTGCATCCCACGGTTGTTCTTGAATTTCTGTGGGCTTCAAGGCCAGGATGCCTTTTGCTTTCACACCTCTTACCAGGCACAACTGTGTTGTAGCAAAGTCACAGCGGAAGCCGTAGCCTTCTTAGCCATTGTCGTCGTCGGCGTCCCGGTGCTCGTCAGTGTCATCGCGATTATAATAACACTAACAGCAGTCGTGGTAGGAACAATTGCAGCAGCAGCGGCGGCGAGCAGTAGCAGTAGCAGTATCACAACATCACCCATCAGATGCTGGTACTTCAATCTTCCGAAATTGGGGGAGGGGTGAATGGTGGGGTGCCTGGGGCGAAGCGAAGCGCTCCATTGCTCGGGGTCCAGAGTTGGTGCAGGACAGTTCAGAGCTCAGGCTTCAGGATTGAGCTTTAGCTCTCAGCTCTGAGCAGAGACCGCGAGACCCTCGTTCCCCTTTGCTGCGTGCCCAGCATCTTCTTCTTGCTGGCCCGGTAAACACCGACAACCAGGGCATGGTCACGATGATAGGGCTCCTGGGCAGGAACCATCGCATGTCTGGAGGCCTTCTGATTCTGGCGCAGCTGTGCTGTAGGTGTGTGGGTGGGGCCAGCCGAAAACCAACAAAGGTCCATCGAAAACTGGCTTTGGACTCTACCTGTAGCCGAAAAGACCTACCTTTTTTGGGGGGTTCCTTTTCATGAATTCTGCACATAGCTCCTTAACAAGGTAGGTTTTTCGGGCCACAGGCAGACCCATCCTGCCCCCTGAAAGCCCTCGGATCCGAGGCACCAAGGTCAGTTGCTCTTTGGGCTTCACCCCATCCTTGCCTGAGCTCTCGCGGCTGCTGCTTGAGAGGCTTCGAAGGCTTGATGAAGGCTCCTTAAAGCGGGGGGCCTGGCCCTCGGGGACATTTTTGGGGGACTTAGTTCGCAAGCACACCAGACGAATCAAACGACGCTTCATGGCACAAACAAAGCCAAGCGAAGCGGCGCAGCTTGTCGATCTCCATGGCAAAGACAGCCTCAGGGGCCGCCGTGGAGTCCACGCAGTTGGCCTGGCCCCGGGGGGTTTCTAGTGGATTTTTTTCGTGGCTTTAGAGTTTAGGGCTTAGGAAGGCTTGGGGGGGCTTAAGTTGGCCTAAGGCCTTTTGGTGAGTGGTTTTGGGCTTCTTGTATCATGTTTCTGGCCGAAACGCTTTTTCCGGATGATCTTGGTCATGGTTAGAACGGCGGCTGTGATGAGAATTTCGGTGATGGCGATGGCGGCTGTGACGACAAGGAGTGATGCTAATGCTCAGAGGCTTTGAACTTGTGAACCGTCACAATTCTGCTCTTCACGCGTCCCAAAAGGCTTGTGCAGGAATTACCAGGCCTGCTCACCGGTTCTTCTGTTTTTGCGAGCTCTTCACTGCGCAACATGCACTAAAGCCCAGAAGTGTCCTCCGAAGCTCAACCTCGACCCTGAAGGGAAGGAGTGTGAGGAGAGAAGGAAGCAAGCAGCGACGGGCCTTGATGGAGATCATGACCCAGCCGTTGTTCTTCAAGAAGAAGCCGGCATTGTGCGTAACGATACGCGCCTGATCCGGCTGCGCCACATCGGAGAAGATCACGTCCACCATGCCAATAAGCATTCCTCCGCCATGGGAGTTCAGGAATGACAGATGGAAGGAACCCAATGTGTGGCCAACTGACAGAGCCTGCATTTCCATAGAAAGCTCCAGGGCTAGGTAACGAAATCCGACCCAAAGCCAGGGAGAGAGAACTGCTTCAGAACTCAAAGCCCAACCCCAAGCCCTGCAAACCCGCAGCAACTGAAAACGGAAAGCATCCTGACCAAGCATCGGTAGCGCTGTGGCTGTCTTGCGTCCTCGACAATGGGCACCACCTCGCTTTCAACTGCTTGACACAAGGTTCAGGGGTGCGGCTCAGCATTTGCGGCCCCGAAGTGGGACTGCAGGGTCAGATAGGGCACACCGAAAGCCTCCACCCTCTCATCTTAGCTAAACTGTTTTGGGGAACTTTCCTCGGCTTCTTCCAGCTCAATGTAACAGAAAATCACATTCCTGGAAGCTTCCACCCTGGCGTTCGTAGCATGATAGTGACCTTCCAACCAAATCCGCGAGCCAGGTTTAGCGTGTGAGATCTGTACAAATTACTAAGGGTGGAAACCACAAGTCCTCATCAGGCTGCGGAGTGATGCAACAGCCCCAACTCCTCCAATAGACTCTCCCAGCTGCCCAGGGGCATTCGGGCGTCGCTTCGCCATGTTTGTGAGGTCTCGCCCGGAGCGATGAGAGAACTCCACGGCATAGACGACTCCCTCGGGCCCGACCATGTCGGAGACGTGGGAGACCGTGGTGCCCGAGGCACCGCCGAGGTATAGGACCTCCGATGCTGGGGGGTTTAAGGTGGAATTCGAGCTCTTGGACGCAGGAGGTTTTTCTTGGTTTAGGGTTTCGGGTGTCGGGGTCTAGGCTTCGGCAATGAAGGCTTGGGGGTTTTCGGGCTTTTGTCGTTTTGGGCTTGGCCTCGGAGCTTCGTCGTAGTCCCATCGACCAATTCAGGGCTTAGGAAGGGTTTAGGAAGCATCGAAAGTGCTGATTCAGGGCGGGGTCACCTGGTCCTTGTGCGTTAAAGAACACACACGGGAAGGTTGTCCGGAGTTCCATTGGCCTGATTTGTTGCAAAAGTCAACGTGAAAAACATGTTTTGCAAGGTAAGCTGTCTACATCGAGCAACACCTCAAACCCCCCACTCTGAAATCAAAACACCCTGAAAACCCTAAACTCTAAATCCTACGTGCATGCCTGCGGGCGAAAATCATCAACAATATATTCTGGTCCCTAAACCGTGAACCCTCAACCCTA